AGAGAGAGAGAGAGAGAGAGAGAGAGAGAGAGAGAGAGAGAGAGAGAGAGAGAGAGAGAGAGAGAGAGAGAGAGAGATCTAAGTTGGTAACGCTTGTAAATGGTGTAAACCATGCAGAGTTTCGTTTGTTCTTTACATGAAGAATCAAGAATTTTCAAATATCAGTGTTTCCATTGAGAACGATTAAAATATCAATGTTTTCATTGTGGACATGCGGCCTTGTATTATAATTACTGATCAAAGATTCTACTCTGTCCTTCAAAGGACACACCAGACTTGTAGATGGAATATGCAGTCTTGTGGGGGGACACTTGTTTTCACAAAACAAACTTTGTCATGCTGATTGGGTCTCACTCCTGGGATAATGGCAGTGCACACTTTGGGCTTGTTTTTGTCAAAGAGTACTCTCTTCCAGCACCAATGTGGTGTTCATTCCACTGTCATCGATGTTCAATGAGAGGGTGGGTTGGTGGTTGGTTGGTCCAGGGAGGAGGTCGGAGGAAGGAAGAGAAGAAGTGGAACGGAGCACTCGTGGAGTTCATTCAGTTGTATCATCCTGCATGATTGTGCTTGTGTTAGGTCAAGGTCACTGCTCAGAGTTTGAAGCAACAGTTGTCGGAGAAACAACATGAAAAAGTGGATGCTGCATCTGGGGTGGGATCAGGAGATGGAAAAGCAGGAGGAGAGGACAGGGCACAAGAAGAATCCCATTCCTCGACGGGGGCAGGGACATCTGGTTCGTCATATGCAGAGCAGGCAAAGCAAAGAGTGGCATGGGCACAGTCTAAGGCGATGGACATATTGGCGAAGATGCAGGAGACAAAGGCTGTTGACAGCATCAGGAAGGGTGTCCTGTTTGTCAAGGATGAATTGACTCGGTCAGGAAGGAGGGTGGAAATACCTCGCCAACCAACTTATGAGGGTGAAACGAGCAGCAGAACAGAGATTGCCACTGTGCAGAAGAAGCTCAGCCCGTGGGAAGCTCGATGGGAGAAATTTAAACAGAAGGTAAGACCTCATTACCCAAGAGGGTGGACGTGGAGTGTTTGCGGACCGAAGGTGACAGACAGAGCGACGGACAGAGCGACAGACAGAGGGATATATATTTTGACGATATATATACACACAGACGGGGTTAAGGTGGTAATCAGTTAGGGGATTCTGCAGACTGGTGAGGGTTCAGCCTCCTGATGAGTCGGTGAAACTCCGACGAAACAGTTTGTCACAGCCCCTCGTTTGTTGTCCTCTTCTCCCTCTCTGCCTACGGTTTACCGGGCAGCTCTGTTTGACGATATATATAGTCAAACGGAGCATCCCGGTAAACCGCAGGCAGAGAGGGAGAAGAGAGGACAACAAACGAGGGGCTGTGACAAACTGTTTCGTTGGAGTTTCACCGACTCATCAGGATATGCGGTGAGCATCGGGCCTGTACTAGCAGGCTCTTTCTTTGGTTATGGTAGAATATACTCTTTCTAATTCTCCTTTCTATCTTTCTTCTTCTTTGGTTTGCTCTTCGCCATTGTTGGGGTATGCGTTTTACGGACCTACTGTATGGTTCCGTTTTTTCAAGTATGGTTATGGCAGAATTGTTGGTATTTTTGGCACCTTGTCTGCAGCCCGGTTGGTTTTGTCTCGTTGTTCGGTCCACGTGGCGGTGTTTTCATGTCATCCGTTTTTTTTCCCCTTTTGGCATCCTAGTTGGCTGGTTCCCGTTGTTTGGCCTATCGATGGGAGGCGGGGCTTTTAGGTGGGAATTGTCATCTGGGATTGTCTTTATTTTTTTGGGGCGTTGGTGGTGTTCCAGTATTTCAGTTTAGAGCAGCGAAGCATGCGTTGAAACCGTGATAGGGTGTCTCTGCTTGCGAGCACGAAAGGTTTGTTATCTGGAATTTGTTCTGGTAACTTTGTCTGCGTCTCGGTTGTTTTTGTCCCGTTGTTCGGTCTATTTTGGAACGCGTAGAGGTGCTTTCATGTGGGACTACCGTCTTAACCCGAAAACAAGGTACGTACCTTGTATATGAATACAAGGTACGGGGTACCTTGTATTTGAATACAAGGTACGTACCTTGTAGAACGAATTTTAGGATGCAACTTTCCTAGGCAAGGGAAAAAAAAAGAAAGCATATAGTAAATAATAGTTATAATATCACGAATAGCACACAATCGACTGCTACCAGGACGGGGCTGCAGCGTCAATTTTTTTTTTTTTTTTTTTTTAACACTTTGACTGCGCTGCGTGCTCACGATCCGACGTGCACTCGAACATTACGTGTTTGAGTGAGTGTGTGTGTGTGTG